TATATATATATATGTATATTGTAATCTCCAAAGAAAATTAGTATTTCTTTGTAGTCACTACTGTTATAGAAATCGCATTCCGTTTGCAGAATGACAGATGTAAATGCAGGTCACCATTTTTTTCTTCAGATGATTAATTATAACCTTTAAATATGATTGCGCTTCTCTGTTATATCTAGAACTCTACCCTCACCTTGCATCGTCGCTTATCGTTACGTCAAAAGATTTGTTCACGTTGCTCGAAAATGTTTGCACTTAAAATGATAAAATGATAAAAGATCTGTTCTTTTTCCATTTCAAGTTTTGAGCTGGTGGAGTGTATATCAATTGCACACAAGCCAATCACACAGCGTTAAAAAAGAAAATAAGAAAGCTTCCTACACAGAAGTCACTGTGATTGGCAGTGAGCAAATCGATAGTGAACTACTTCTGAGGGTGCAATAAATTAAGGGCCTCCTTTATCAACTCCGATTAATGTTAATCGATGATTAATGATAAAAATTGAGAAGCTCCGCATAATAAAAGGAACAAGAAACAGAGAATAAGAATTTTAATCTATCAGAAACTGTGTATTCCACAATATGATATTCAATAGATTGAAATTTTTATTCTCTGTTTTTTTTCTGTTCCTTTTATTGCGGAATCCCTAATATTCGTTAATTTTTATTATGTGATCTGTTTTTTCACTGGCTGCGTTCATTTTGCCACTTACAACACTTATGAGCATCAATTGTCCTTGTTTAATATTTAATAAATAACAAGGATGAAACAACACTTGAAGCGTGTGAGCGCCAAAGCAAACACAGCCACTGAAAATGAGCGTCGAACATCAGCAAGAAAAAGTACCTTAAATGCAAAAAGTGCAAGCAATGCGATCAGACCCAAGATCTTATATCATGGCTGTGTTTCTGTCGAATGAGTTTGTGTATATTGGAACGCGGCTTGTTTATAGATTCGCCGGTCGTGTGACTGTGAATTTCTTTTCTTAAATTCTCTCGACGAAAAGTATTTTATTCAAATATAAAGATGCCATGTGAAATGATAACTCTGCAACTTGGTCAATGTGGCAATCAAAGTAAATAGTTACATTTTATTTTGCAACAAATGCCACTATTAATTTTTAAATATAAGTTTTAAAATGTAATATAAATTCAATTAATATAAATTCATTAGTGCCATAAAAGTAACATAAGTTTCATAACTGTATGGTTTTTTTTAACAATTTTAGATAATTTTTCAAAGTTTTACAAAACTTCAAACATTATTAAGTTCATCTAGATTCTTCTATGAATAAATCAAAAGAAAAAAGACTTATAAACATCTTCAAAACATTGTGTAGCTTTATATGTAAAATCTTTCATTTGTAACACACGATTACATACGTCTTTGTAAATTTATATATTTTGTTTATCTTTGCAGTTGGATTTGAATTTTGGAAAAGGTTATGTGCAGAACATGGAATTAATCCAGAAGGAATTTTAGAAGATTATGCAACAGAGGGAATGGATAGAAAGGATGTCTTTTTTTATCAGTCAGATGATGAACACTACATACCACGAGCTGTATTATTGGATTTGGAACCAAGAGTAATTAATGCTATTATGTCTTCTACATACAAAAAGGTAATATACATAAATATACACACATATACACACACACACATATATA